ACCTGTGATCACAGCGAACTTGCCTGGCACTGTGCTCAGTGAAGGGACTGTCATCAGTGAAGGACCTTACTCTCCAAGCAGAGACACATACGCACCAGAAACAATACATGTACCTCATTTTTCATGGAGGTAAAAATGGAGGTATTGTTTTTGGTATGTCTGTGTGTGTGTGTGTGTGTGTGTGTGTGTGTGTGTGTATGTGTGTGTGTGTTTGTGTTTCTGCACATTTGTAGTCATCATAACTTCAGAACGCCTTAAAGTTTATGGTTTGTGATGATATTTAGTATGCAGGTAAGTCTTTGGAAGACAAAGGTCAAGGTCAAACATGGGCCTCCTGTTGGCTGACCTTGGTACTGCGGCAGAACTTCCGGTTTTTGTATCTTTTGTCCTGAACATGCTATGGTCTTGATTTTTTGGTGACAGATAGCTTTTCCTGTCAGGAATAAATGGTGTAGGTTTGGTCCCCCTAGCAGCTTGTTTAGGAACTGCAGGGGATCCGGAGTTTCTGGTGAAATCTTTTAAATCGGATAAGTCCAGAAAGAAACAACGTATTTTCATCGTTTCCGATACATACATGTAGGTTGCATGTACATAATCAAGTGCCAATTATGCAACTGAAGGCTAAATTTGGATAATTTAGTAGGGAATTCTACAATTAGTGTTTTACATGATAGCACTTTCATACATGTAATGTATGTAATCTATGGCAGGTGAAACATCGACAGATACCAACTATGCAAATAATGACCTAATTTGCACAATTAATGTGAAAATTTTTAGATTTATTAATGGTGAATGATGGGAATTTTATACCTTGTAACATGTGTAAGTTAATATATAAAATGTTAACTATGCATACAGTCACTATGCATATATTACCTTAATGTGGAGGTCATTTGCATCATTAATGAGAACATGTTGAAATGAAATATTGCCAAGGGAAAGGAATTCCTTACGCAAAATATTGTAATTTGAGTTTAGAAAACCAACAGTTAGATTGTTAATTACGACCTTACTTCCATATACAATGAGACAAATCCCCCCAATAACAATTTTACATAAACTCATGCATATTTCATGGAGGTATGAGGTCTCCGAATTGTTGTTTTTGTTCATTCTGTCTTTGTGCCTGTCGGTCTGTCTGTGTTTCTGCATATTTTTGGTCAGCAACAAGAAGGCTTGAGTGGATTTATGATATCGAGGATGGCATGTGGGTAGATCTTGGGAAGACAAAGGTCTTACTGCTCCTGATTTGCATAAGTGTAATTATGTACCTTGCATGAGTAATTGTTTTTTGGCATATCTTATTACACTGCAGTGGATGTGTAACCTTCACCTTTGCATGATTTTTTGAAATGATTGCATTCCCTAATCAGTTTTTTTTTATTAGTTACTGTAAAAATGTAACTGTGGCAGGTGGAAGATGGCAGATATTTATTATGGACTCATAATAAGAGCCTAAGTTGCATAATTGATAATGTTATGTCCTCAGTGGTTAAAGAATTTCATACTTGTGACATCACTTATGCATGGATTATGTAAACGTAGAAGTCATTTGAATAATCAGAAATGAAATATTAAAAAGCAAAGGGAAAGATTTTCACCCATACAATACATGTACTAGGTACATCGTACAGTAAGTGCCATGAACTTCTAATCATTGGATCCATTTCCTCTACAGGTACATGTAGAAGGAGAGGAAGTTGGCAACAGACTAACGGAGAGCTGAAGTTCGTGTCGGTCGGTCCATCAGGTGTTTGGGGAGTGAATAGCGACGACGAAATCTTCTACAGAACTGGAACTTACGGGAACGAAGCTTCTCTGGGCACAGGATGGGTACGAATTGGCGGAGCCCTAAAGCAGATCTCATCTGGAAAAAACATCGTGTGGGGAGTCAACAGCGACGATTATATCTTTATCCGATTAGGTAAGTCATTGATTAACTTGTACGTTCTGATTGGTCCCCTGATCTAGTGGACAGATCTGGAGTTTTTCAAAGCATTTATTAAGTAGGTATGCTCATTATTATCATTTCTGATAGTTTCTAGTCTTGCTAGCACATGATGCCTGTATTTTTGCTCCAATACTCTTTTGTTTTTTTTAATTATAGGAATAAGTTCGAGTTCTCCCCAAGGGTCTGGCTGGCAACCAATTGGAGGAAAGTTGAAGCAGGTGCATGTCAGCTCAACTAGCAATCAGGTGTGGGGCGTCACCTCTGGGGATGACATTTTTCGACGTACTGGAATCACAGAAAGCAATCCGGCAGGTGAGATACAGCTTGGATCAATCGTGTCATAATTCCCTTGAACTTGTAGGAAATCCGATGAAAGTTGTGCTCTGTCTTGAGTCTTGTGTCCTCTCATTTTCATACGTACAGGAACAGGCTGGCAGCACATTGCTGGGAAGCTGAAATTCGTGTCGGTTGGACCAGCCGGAGTTTGGGGCGTCAACAGTAAGGACCTGATCTTCTACCGCACGGGAACGTCTGGTAATGAGGCTTCAGCTGGAACCGGCTGGGAAGGGGTCAGCGGTGACTTGAAACAGATCACGTCAGGGAATGGCGAGGTCTGGGGTGTCAACGGGAAGGACGAGATCTTCGTACGATGTGGTAGGCTACTTATTTTCATATGCATCATAATTATAATAAACATATCAGAAATATATTGGGAAGTACACGATTGTCTGGAATAACTGAAAGTCAGTGTTCTTTCTAGTTGTATCGCCGTGATCCATTTTTTTTCTATTCTGAATGATTTCAAGCTGATAATGCACATTATAACTCCCTTGACGCTCTGGTTTTCCATGGACAACGTCTTTGATTAGACCTGGTTTATTAGACAAGCATCTTTTCTTTCAGGTTTAAGTGCAGGGACACCTCAAGGCAGTAGCTGGCAGCAAATTGAAGGAGAGCTGAAAGAAGTTTACATCAGCTCTAGCAGCAACCAAGTATTGGGTGTGAACGAAGACGATGAAATCTATCAACGCCTCTGGCAAAGGCCAGGTCCCCTTCGAGTCTGTGAACACCAAACACTGACCATCAGTTGTCCTGCTGGACAACAGATCAACATCCTGTCTGCCATGTACGGCCGGACCTCCCGAGGGTTTTGCCCCAACGTCGCAATCCACACCACCAACTGCCGAAGCCCCAACAGCCTGGTTCGGGTCAGGGGCAGCTGTCAGGGAAAGTCCAGCTGCTCTGTGAGGGCCTCCAACAGCGTGTTCGGGGATACTTGTGTTGGCACCTTCAAGTACCTGGAAGTGAGCTATACTTGCGGTAAGTGCCAGCATAAATCAACTGTATTAGAAAGCCAACAAAGCCGATTCACAGTTGGACATTAAAAAGACACCTTAAGTTTTTAATATTTAAAGCCACCATGCCAACATGGTCTGATACATGTACTAATACATAAAATCATCATGCATTACATAACATTCCATTACAATTACGTAATGTTAAGTACACTTATCGAGGCCTTATAGTATTGAAATATCTTGTCAAAACCTCTTATCCTGAATTTCCTTTTTACGTGGAAATGACCATACCCTACAGATGGTATCAAGAACAAGCGCAAATAGTTCAAATGATATTCATAATCCTTTCTGAAATAGGTTGCCCAGTTTGGCTGAAATTAAGCTTTTCATTTTAGGAAGTTTAAATTTATTATTTGTAGCAAGAACCTCTGGGCCACGTCGAGTCTGTGAACATCAACCATTATAGTTGTCCTGCTGGACGACAGATCCACATCCTGTCTGCCCTGTACGGTCATCACATCCCGAGGGCTTAAGGTGCCCACAGCGGCCCAATTTGCACCACCAACTGCCGAAGCCCTTGAACAGGCATTATTGAGTTAATGGATCAGGGGCAGCTGTCAGGGGAGGTCCAGCTCAGGCGGTGGTGGAAGGGTCGCTAAGCACGACGGGTAATATTTTCACCCGAAACAGATGCGCGCGCGGTCCAGCTGCTCTGTGAGGGCCTCCAGCAGCGTGTTCGGGGATCCTTGTGTTGGCACCCTCAAGTACCTGGAAGTGGCTTAATATTTAACCATCCAATAGTGTGATAAATTGTTCAATGAGAGACATTGATAATGATTTAAACAGATTCAATTCGTTACCAAACTGATGGGCTGGGGAAAGCTAAGTTCTTTAACACTTCCAGTTTTTGTATTTTTTGTCCTTTACAGTCATGCTAGGTTTTGATTTTTAGTGGCCAATTACATAGCTTTTCATCTCAGGAAAATGTGTTCTGGAACTGCAGGGCCGTTTTTGGTTATGTGGTCTTGGGGAGATGAAACATTTTCTTCTTTCAAGCAGCATAAAAAGTAGAGCTGCTGTCTTTACTTTCTCATTCTATTCCTACTGACTTTGCTGAATTATGCTGATATATTCTCTTTTTACCTCCATGATATATGATGATGATCCTTAGGTAAACCTGTCCCGCTGACTGAACAGATAGTGAAGAAGTATGCACCAAAAGTGTGGCTTGCGAAGGGTGAGACCTACAATCCTTCAAGTGTCGCATTCCATCTACAGAACGTTAAGGTGTACGATGGCAATAGAGCATTTTCCAGCACACCTTCAACCCTTCCCACCTGTTCCGTGAACTGTTACATGAGCAGCAATCAACACCTGGACGAGGCTTCCGACAGACTGCCTTTCTTCAGTGGGGAGAGAGTCACATCTTCCCATCAGCCCCCTGTGTACGCTGTTGCCAAACAGATCACCCCGACCACTACAGACATATTCTACTGGATGTTCTACCCTTACAACAGGGGGAAGCGAGTTTGTATCGGTAGGTTTATCCATTGGTTTATCTGAGTGTATATATCAAAATTAAGATACTCGTAATTAAGGTATTTTTGAGTGTTTTTATAATATAATATCTATTTAAAGGCCTGAAGCCAAGATCTATTTGAAGACAATTTATTTTACACCTGACTCTGACAGCTGCACCTGACACTGGTACGTTGTGTAACCCATGGCTAAAGTGAGTTAATATCAAATACCTGTGTCACTATTAATGTATCAACTCCTCTTAAATCATTATACGCAAAAACTAGAAAAAGAAACACACATCTATTCTTTACTGAGATGCACGATTCGACTTGTTGATAGGAGTGGCTTTTGCTATTAATGTTACTTTTTTTTGTTCGTGCTACAGGAGTTCGTATTTTGGGTTCCTGTGTTGGTGGATACTCTACTTTTGGGCATCATGTTGGTGACTGGGAGCACATGAAAATTCGATTGGAGAACGGACAACCAATTAGCATCTATGTTTCTGCACACGATTTTGGAGGTAGATCTATACAGACTTTAAGCCAATTTTTAAAGCATACAGAAACCTGCATGTCAGTTCAAACTACATTTGGGTTGTGCCCAGCATTTTAGTCTTGATTAAATAGTGTGGCTGAGGTCAAATGTTTAATGCAGTGCTATGTCAGGCCGAACAAATACAATAAAAATTATAAAGAAAGAATTTTGAAGTGGCTGCTTACTTTTTTTCTCTTCAATTGTTTTTCTATTTAATTTCTTCAAACTGTATTTTAGATAAAAACTGCACTGGCATAAAAGAATTATACATAATTATGTGTATTACTGCATGTAATGAACCACAAGGTTAATTCAATTCAAACTCAAAATAAGTTTAATTATAAATTTATTTATTGGTGTAGGTGAATACTACTGGGATGCTGCATCACAGACTTACAATAAGCCCGGCGACATTGTACGGACCGATGGGACACATCCCGTTTTGTATTCAGCAAAGGGTAATTATCATTTCTTTTTAATTATCACACCAGTGAATTCTTACATCTGACTTGATATCTTACAAAAATAGCTTCAAAGTGAATAATTTCAACCTACTCCTCAAGCCCTTAGTAGTTTTGAGGCCTAAGTTGCTGTTACATGTAGCTAACTGAGATTTCAACTGATCTCCTTGATATTTTATACATCACAGGTAGCCACGGCCTCTGGTCCACCCCTGGCACCCGCACATACAAGAGTATCCCCATCAACAATAAACTTCAGGATGAAACCAGTGCGGGGACGGCATGGGACACTTGGAAGAACGTACCCTTCACCATGCACCGGCCAGACGGAGGTTACACCGGATCCTGGACATGGTTGAACTTCAAGGGACGCTGGGGTAACAGGAAGGTAAACCAGCGCATTAAACATTCTCATTTAAGTTCCTGTCAGCTTAACAGCTTGGATGAGAATAGCACCTGATCCCCTGGTATAACACAGGTAATGGCCTGTCCCAAATATACATGTATACAAGGTAAATTAGCTTGATTGATAGAGACCTCAATCATGATGACAATAAAAGTAAAGTCACTGTCAGTTGTTAATCTAAGCATTGACCTATTGTATCCCAAAGTCCGGCTACTAACCTGAATCTGCTGGTCAAACAGTTGTGTACGCTGAGCAACCGGACATTATAAACTAGAGTTCCCCGATCTCATACTTTCGCCAAATGATGTTAGTCTTTATGACTGACAATTTGTAGATTATTCCCCCTGTTGTGCAAATAGGATCCTCATTTTTATGAATTATATCAATTTATCATATTCTCAACCAAAAGACAGTCATGTATTAACAAACAATGCCATTCTTAGACTTGCATTTCTTCATGAATTATGCAAATGAGGTCCTGATTTGAATGCATTATCTTTAATGATTTTCACCGTCAACTGATTGTTGAGTTATCCTCTTCTGAATATTTTCAATCAGACAGCCCTGCAGTTCCAAAGCAAATCACAAGCAAACTCACGTCACTTCTTCCTCAGCACAAGACCTACCAACCAACCAAATTTCTTTTGCATGTCTAGATCATGAGATATCAAAACTGGAAGTTCAGCTGCAGTACCATAACAAGCCGCTAGGGGGTCCAAAATCTAATCATTTTCAGGTCTCATCATGACGGACCCACCTACCAAGTATCAAGACAATCCCTCAAGGCCTTCTCAAGTTATCGTGTCCACAGACGGACGGACATACACACACACACACACACGAACGCCTTTGAAAACACAACCTTCTTGGCGAAGGTATAATATAGAATAATGTCCTTGCAATGAGATAAATACTATTTTGTATTCTACCAAATAGGTTAATCCCCAGCATCTATAATGTACCCAGATAATTATTTTTGTCTTGTGATAGCACAATCCACTCAATTTCAGTTTGTTACCTTTCCTGTGCACCCAGCAAAAAAAAGGAAACTAAGCATGATCTGACTAAGTCAGTGAGGGACCGTAAAAAAAGTAGTAACAGTACACATACCTGAAATTTCACCATTCATGCAGAAGTTGAATATTATTACCTTTTTAGTCTTTAATTTTCAAAACTGTTCGATAGAACCTTATGAAAACTGTTCTCCAACTCAAAATTTGACTCACCGGAATTTTTGACTGAATCACTGAGTCTTGCAGCTATCTGACCCAAATACTGTGGACACCTGATTTTTCCCACGTGTGACGTCAGCAAAGGGTCAAAGGTTGTCTGAAGTCAATGGCCTCTTTTATGCCTCTCTTGAAGTAATCCTGTTCGGTATCCAAGATTCTGACCCCCTCCAGATCCACTGTGTGTCCCGGTGATTCTATGTGGATGTGCTGAGACACCTCACATGCAACAGAACTGGGTCGTCTATGTTCTAGAAACCTGGTTTTTAGTGAGCGCTCAGTTTCCCTGAGTGTTTCCCTGGCAACTTATGTGGTAGATAACCCCACATTTTTCTTCCTTGTCCTTAGGTGCCTTAGAACCTTGTGGTGCCTTCCTTGATTCTTCTGTGTTCAGCACGGGCTCAAACAAGAATATACATATTGTACTTAGTCAAAGTACCGGTACATGTAAGGGCTGTACCTTACTGCACTCGTTTGACCCTGGCCATTGCGTCATGCTACATTATATAATTTATAGTACAATGTACTCAAGGTGAACATTCATAGATAATTCAAATGAGATGTGTATGTGTTTGTATGTGTGTGAATTTCATTCTAACATAAAACAATTCAGAGATCTTGGATTTGTCTCATTGATTATGGAAATGAGGTTGTACATGTGTATTTACCATAATCTATTTCTCTCTACCATAAACTCAAATTACAATATTTTGCATGTAAAATTCCTATCCTTTGGCAATGTTTCATTTCAACATTGTCCTCATTCATTATGAAATGACATCTACATTAAGATAATATAATTATGCATATTGATGTTAACCTTTAAGTAACCAAAGACATTATATCTTCTGTACAATGTCCTTGAAGTAACACATGTCACAAGGTATAAAATTTCTATAATTCACCATTAAGGAATCATAGAATTTTCACGCTAATTATGCAGATTAGGTCATTATTTGCATAACTGGTACCTGTTGATGTTTCACCTGCAATATTACATACATTACATGTATCAGAAAGTACTATAATTGTGTAAAACACTGAAATTACAGAATTTCATCCTAAATTATGTAGGACAAAAGTTCAGGACAAAAGATACAAAACCCAGTTCTGCTGCAGTACCAAGGTCAGCCACCAGGAGGCCCATATCTAAACTTGATCTTTGTCTCTCTAAAACCTAGCAAATACCAAATATTATCACAATCCATTATGGTGTTCTGAAGTTATGAGGACTGCAAATGTGGAGAAACACGCACACATAGGCACTCATACAGGTAAAAATTATACGATTACTTTATCTTCTTTTAGCGTGACTGTTATAAATTGGCCGGGGGTGAATGCATACTGAACGACGGGCCAACATCTATCAACTACAGGTCCAACTGGAACAGCTGCTTATAGGATGATTGGTTAAGAATAAGAAGGTTAGAAAAATCAAATATGGATTCTACTGTTTCCTATTAAAGACATATTTATCATGATTATAACATTATTTTCAGTAACTGTTTTTTGTTTTACATGTAAAAAAAGTTATATGTTGATTGTGCAGCTACCAAATTTCCAAATGTTCTAGATTTTGATAGTGAGAAATTCAAACAAAACCACTGAGCTCAAACAACTCTATGATTATAATCAGTGTTTTTCAATAAAAATAAATATCACAGTTTACTAGTGCAACATATTTATACTATTTCTATTCTATTCTATTCATATACTGCCCAGATATAAACACATCTGATTCATTATTTCTTTGAGGAACAACAGATTTGACAAATGTAATAGTTGCTAACAAATTTAGACTGTATGTTTTCTTGTCCCTTGCAGTACGGCCTGGAAGAGTGACACCTACATGACCTTCTGCTGTTCCAGCTCAACAGACGTGAACTGTGCAGCAGCAGCTGTGAATGTGATGATGTCATCTCCAAGCAGATATTGGGAGGAACAGTAGTAACTTTTCCTGACTAGCCCGGGACAGCCAGAAAACGTTACAAACCTCCCCCAACATCTGCTTGAGTGTTAAGATTCTAAGCTTTTAGCAGGTTAAGCTGAGTAGATACTCAGGTAATTAAGGGACAGATTCAGCTCAGATAGCTAACCTCCAGATATTCTAGAAATATTTAACATCAGATACTCTCATAACACCACCAAGTAAAAAAACACAATCTACCAATGTAGCATCAGTCAATAATTTTTGAGATATGTACTTCAGATATCAACAACATCTGCGAAGACCTCCACCTGCATTATGTGAAGATGAGGGCAAAAGTTTATAGTGACCCTTGTCAGGACAGGCCAGATCTTGGTGGGATTATGAAAGTTGGTGTTAGTGTTTGTAGTGTTTCAGCATTTATATATTTAAAAAAAATAGAATATACCTAGAATCTAGTAGGTATCTACTTGATTTTCATTGCTACTAACGAAGACAAATATACAACACATGGTGCTTTTGTGCAAGTTGAGTACAATTTCTGTGCTTACATATTAGCAAAACATTTTTAGTTCCTTGAGCTTGTTGTAGAAGCTAATGAAGCTGTAGTTTTTCAGTGCTCTATTAAAGTACTAACTGGGTAATGCTAATGGCTTGTGGTGAAAGACATTAATACTTCTTAGTAGAATTTCAGGATCCTTACAATTTGGACAATTAATATTAGTCCCAGAAGCTAACAGCTTCTGTGCTTATGTAGAAAGATGTAACACATTAAGCTCATAATATTGTACGACATTGACATGTGATCATATTTTAACATGTGATCATTTGTTAACATACGATAGCATAACTAGTTTGCATGTCATCTATCACCTAAAGTACCCAAGACACATTCAGAATTTTTGCATAGAGCCCTGCGTAGAGCCAGATTTTTAAGGTCAAAGTTTGTTATGGCATACAAGTAAGTGCACACTTAAATCCTGGTAGCCATGCTGCATTAGGAAAGGGACAAAGGTATAATAATATTATTGCTAACTGTATATTCAAGATAGTTTAAGGACAGTGAATGCTTGTAAGATCCATACGGCTGTGTTGTTAAGAACTTGATCATGAAAAACATTGAAGGCAGACAAAAAGATTCAACGGATCACTTTTGAAACTCAATTTCCCATGGACATGCAACCTTTGTACAAGGGAAAGTTTGGTTATTGCAAAATTCCCATCAACATTATCACAAATCACATTCAAATATCAATTCACCATTCCTATTATTATGGAAGAATCCAACCTTTCCATCCTGAATGGGAACAAAAATTTCACCAAAATAAAACAATGTAATGTACTAGTTCTTGAGATCAACACATACATGTAATTGTCATTTAGGCTTACTAATATTTCCCGGGAAAAGTTATCACTGTTTATGCATAGCTTTATATCTATATTCTATACGACACTGTGTATGACCAAGATAGTAGCATAAACTGATAGCAAAAGAATGTTTAATGAACAACATCAAGTAAAATTGAGTGTTTCTTGTTGGAATGTAGATATATGACATGACATGACATGTTAGCTGATTAATGTAAGCCAATTAACACCAACCTTGTGTAACATCCAGGATTACTAATAAAGCCGCAGCTTTCACTAAAAATCTACTCGTCCTCAGAAGTCTTCTTGGCTCCTACCGACAGATAGGGAAATACTCTAACTACTACATATGGAATTGTGAACATTAATGTTGATGATATGGAACAATCCACAGAGTAAAAGGTTCCAAAAAGCCCCTTAGTCAGGTCTCCAACAACTTGAAAGATCTTATGATTTCTATGTAATCACACTGACCTAACCTCCCTCCCCCATGCTCTTAGCCTGTACATTAAGCTCAATTTAGTGCAATTGAGGCTATTGGACCATGTACACGTTGGACTTGTTTAAAGAAATATGTCAATCCGCAAACACCAGTGGATGAAAAAAAAGCTCACAACCTGAGGGAATTAAAACATCAAAGTTTTGTAAGGGACTCAACAAGTCATTCAAGCATTCACCAATAGGGAAATGCAGTCTGATTAGAAGCGGTTTAGAAGCACATGTATCATACTTACAGAACTTCAAACTGGAAAAGCCCACACCTTGTTCCCTGAAGAACTTCTGTTCTGACTTGACAAGAAAATAAAACTAGACTTGCACGATCACATACCTTCGCCAAATGATGTTAATCTTTATGACTGAAAAATTATATATTATTCCCCCAGATTATGCACATAGGATTCTCATTTCCATGAATTATATTATTTGATCATATCTTTTCTGTAAAACACGGGGCCCCGTCAAGACCCCGCGGAACCCCGTGCGGGGCCCCGTTTGAGGAGAGACCTGACTGACAATATACAACAAAATGAGGTGTCGACGTTTTTCGACAGCGAGCAGAGGTTTTTCGGGTATTAAACAACGTACGAATATGACCGTAACTTTAACGTTTGCTTAATATAACCGTTAGTATTTACACACAGGCAAACACACCTGTCCCTGGTGCTGAAACGCCATCCACAACAGGAAAACATTCTCAATGGCCCCGTTAGAATGTACAGTATGTTGTTGGTGTCGATCGTTAGGATTCAAACACACACCCGCTACGCCACGTACTACGTAGAATAAATAGAGTGTATTTCGAACCCCTAACGTTATACCAAAATACCGAAATGATACCAGGATTTCACCCCCCCCCCCCTGGCAAAGTGGGCCAGTCCACCCAGCGAGGCAGTATTTTCAGGTCAATAGCAGGTCAAACCATGCCACTTGAATTGAAAAAGTCACTTGAAGACAAATCTCTGATTCAGCGATGACCAACAGAAACCATGGTTTCGCGCAGGCGAACAATGTAGTACGTAACGGCGTTACCGTCAACGTGCTGATGAGTTGGGATTATACTAATGTCTTAAGTGCTCACTTACTGAAAGCTTCCCTCTCCTTCGTGTGGGAGAAATGCAGATTTTTAAGTAATTGAATCCTTTTGAACACATCATCACCCAAACGCTACCTAAGCGGTCCTTTGTTAACTTTGAACGCTCTAATGACTAGTTTGTCCCATTCACCTGAAAAGGTCAAAGTTAAAATTCAGGTCATTGTGCACCGGTGCGTATGATAAGTGCCTGTGGAGAGGGCAACGTCACGTATTCTTCCTCATAATATATATGTCAACCCAAAACAACCAGAACAAAAGAAAATGTATAGTTGTCAAACTTCAGCATTCCCCACGACACTACTGTCACATATTCGAATTCCTCTTCACTATGTGGTCAAGCCAAAACACTCAGAACAAAGGTATGTTGTTGTACTTCAGCATTCCCCGCGACACTACCGTGACAGAAGGGTGCATAGCTGTAGGCAGACAAGTGATTCGACTTCATTTTGTGGAGAAGTGATTCTGTCAGAGAGGGTCATCACTGGACTATCTCTAACATCGCCACCCGATTTGTGCCTCACAGGTGGGAATATAACATATTCGCTGTACATAATCCATAGACTTGCACTAGAAGTTAGACGCTCTAAACGTAAAAGCAGTCATTAAGCACTAGGTGTAGAAGATGTACCCTCACTGGTCTTTTACGAGACCGAGAAATGCCTACTACACACTCCAAATCTCTGAGGAACGTTTGTCACGCTAAATAGACAGTCATTCAACTCGTTGCACAAATTTATTTTCATACTAGCAAGCATGGACTGCCATACTGTTGACTGTTCGAAAAGACTAGAACAATTTCGAACGCTTAGTAACACAGGCTTTCTTTCTCTCACTTTAATGTTTTTTCTGGTTTCCGACTACAGAATGTTACGCTCGAATTAAGCTACAAAAACATTGTTCAGAAAGGGGGGCCGGAGGGTATACACCCAGTGCGGCGGGGTCCAAAGTAGGGTTTTTGCGGAGATTAGCATAGCTGTCTGCATGTGATAAGGAAAACAAGGTATGTCTAAACCTTCATGTAAATAACTACAAGGTCGGCGTATGTGTCGTTAGCTTTTAAGCCAAAACAGATAACGATTGAAAAATTGGTACGCCGAGCAGGTTGACGAACGAACGCACGGGGAACATGGCATTCGAAAGGTGTACACGTATGACCGATTTCCGAAAATAGTTTCAACGGGTTGGCAGAGTATAGGATATAGGGGTTTTCTTTTACACTACCAATCTTGTCTTGCCTACATTTCGGTGTCTACCAGACACCTTCCTCAGAGCTTCTGACTGGAGTTCTGCTTCTCGCTACACATGATGGTGGTGAGAAGTAGAACAAGGTAAGACGATGTTTGGACCCCATGTTTGTGTTGGAACGTTCGCCTTTAAAACAAGCGAAAAGTGTCCTCCGGCAGTGCCTCCTCATAACTAACAAAACAGGTTAGACATCTGAGGCAGAAGTAATTATATGTGACCTCACGTGTAGGCTGAAGTGTTCACTGTCACTCATGTTCAATCAAATTAAGATGTTTTTCACCTTTTTCAGAAACATTAATGTCGCTCAAGAATCCCTCTAATTGGCTGATGGATCCCTTGACATGGACGTCTGTGATGGCGACGCCAAAAAAAAAAAGAAAGCTGAAAGGCCGACATTTCTTTGGTGCAAATGCAGCAGATGGCTTCACCACATGTCCCCCGTTCCAAAAATGGACCTGTCCCCCTCCCGCACAAATGGATTGTTCTTATATCACCACTGTCCAAAGTGTCAAGTTTTCCAACAGTCTATACCTCCATGCAGCAATGGAATCTATCAACGCCTTCTGTAAATGTAAGGTCGTTTGGCCCCAAAATTGAATCCATTTTACGACATGGTAGGGAAAGAAGGAGAAAGGCAGGGGAAAACAATGCTTTACATTGATATAACTATAATATGAAGTAACATATAACTTAGAATACAACAGTTGGATAGCTATTCCCTACATTATTGGTTAGGATTTTTTCATTTGCATAATGCAAACTGTTGATTTTCGAGATAAAAAACGCGTTTATGCCCCGCATTCCAATACTGGAGCAGGAAAGTTTGACATATCTACCAAAACACTTGAATGCAGTTCATACTGTCAATATGGTATGAATTGTGAGCTAAAAACAGTCCCAAATTATCAAATTAAACAGAGAATATGCCAAAATTATAATGCATTGTTGTAGATATATAAAGCATACCTATTAACATACAAAAATTAACATACCATACAAAAGCACAACATAACCCCAAAGGTACAGATTTTGTAAAAAAAAATGGCAACAAAAAAAACAAAAAACAAATAAAACAATTCTAAAATTCTGTATCCAAAAAAATGAAGAAAAAAATACTTGTGGTATTTACCTTCATGCCAAATTTCATGTTATTTGGCCCAAAAATGGCAGAGTTGAATCCATTTAAAGAAATGGCAGGAGAAGAAGGAGGAGGAGAAGAAGAAACATTAGAGAACACAATATGCTTCACCACACATAGTTTGGTAAAGCCATAATAATAGTTACTATAGACTTCTACATTTGGATTAATGTTGTTAGAATGAAATGTATATCTATACATTTCCGAGAAACAGTTCATCTATATCTAAAAATGTTGCTTCCTCTTACTGAAAGATATTCCATGGGCCAGGAGCCTTTAAAAAGGAAATGTGGGGTCCTTTTTTGGTAGCGCACCGGGTTAGCAATAGGTTGCGCGAAGCAAAATGTGAGAATAAAAGCAAATTTTTTTAAATCTGGGAAACGTTTAAGGAAAAATCAAGATTTATTGAAATTGAGTTTTGTATTCAGTTTGTTAGACTGGTTCAAGCGACTTAATTTTACCTTTAGTTCGGACAGAAGCGGCCGCGGCGCAACTGGGCAACCAACTCACGCTCTGTCTCACTCTCTGATAGATCAATGATAGAAATATAGTCCAAAGGTCAGTCCATACATTCTGCAAACTCAGAGTATTTCGTAAACATTGTTTCTTCTAAGGGAAATACTTTCTATTTTCTAGGGAAATACTCGTGAAGATGGCAACAGCATCCGAGATCGCCATTCCGCAGTCTGCAGAAGATATCGCCCCCTCCTGGGTGCAAGAGGTACTGCAGAAGGACCTCCCGGGCGTCTCCATCACGGACGTCCATGTCAAGGGATCCATCAGCCAATTCGAGGGATTCTTGAGCGACATCATCGCTTTTGATGCCGTGGGCATTAGAAATGGAGCGAGTCAGCGATACAGTCTCGTCGCCAAGCTGACAGATTTCAAGCGGCCGCTGACAGTGATGGAACATTGGACAAAGGACCTGCAGATCAAAGCAGAGACGAATGAGGTCAAGTTTTATTCAGAAGCGATCCCCGAGTTCCTATCTGTGGCAATCCCAAGCAAAGAGCAAAAATCTAAGCGAGGGAATGAAGATGACTTGTTCCTTCCGAAATGCTACTTCGCCGCCACCGACCCGAGCTCCAAGGTGTCCGTCAGGGTTATGGAGAACCTGAAAAGTCAGGGGTTCTCCATAAAAGTCAACCGCCAGTCGCTAAGCCGTGATGAGATGATGCTTGCAGCCGGGGCCCTGGCGCAGGTACACGGCCTGTCACACCGGGTGGAGATCCGTTCAGGGGTGCCTCTTCCCGAGAAGTTCGACTGGATCACGACTCTGTCAGGTGCCAAAGCTGCGTGGAGGGATGTTACAAGTTACGTGTATCAGCAAGCCGTCACGGAATTCGCCACAGCTTTCCCCGACCAGGCAGACCTTGTAGCTCGTCTGGAGAAGTTAGGCACTCTGAATCCGATGGAGGCGGATCCAAGGCCGAGGCTTAAGGTGCTTAGCCACGCCGAATGTTGGAACAACAACATCATGTTTAAGGTAAGACTTTATGCGTTTTTCCTAAACATTATGGGGGACATAACAATTTTTGTGTTGCATATTGTTAATTTTCTTAAATTTTTTTACAAGATAATTGATTATTGCCGTGGTTTTTGTTTCGAACACAGTACGCTGAAGATGTGCCTACCGACGTGCGGCTGGTGGACTGGCAGACGCCCAGGTACCTGCCACCAACGTACGACCTGACTTTCCTGTTTCTTTGTAACGCGAGTTGGGACGTCTTCCACGACCACAGGGACGCCATCCTGGCTCACTATCACCACAAACTGATGGAGACCCTGGGTCCAAACGGTGAGAACCCGCACTTCGCTACTATACACATTTTCTGTTGTTTTTTTTTGTTTCTACAGTTGTAATGATTTTCATCTCATTAAAAGAAAAAAGAAGTATCAATGCCCAGCCTTTGTACAAACCTCACACAATTGTGATGGGTTTTGGTTTTCAATAAACAATAAAGCCTTGTGTTCCAATTACACATGTAGAATCCTCGGGCTCACAGAGCTACACACTGGAACAGCTGAAGGCAGACTTCGAAGCCGACTGTCTGTACGGGGTGATCGAATGTTTTATCCATTTCACTGTCCTTCCTGCAGATCAAGACCTGCTGCGGATTCTTCAGGAGATCAAGGAGTGGGGAGTTATCTAAATGTACACATGGCCGTAGATCAGTATAGCAGATAAATAGACTGCCCCTGTGTAATTGCCTTTGTTTTTACTGAAGGAAGAGAAAACTCTTTTATTAGAAAGATGTTAACTTTATACAGACTCCTGAACTATAATATGTATCATCGGTGAAGGTTATTAGACATCCAGGTAATAAGATATGCCCCAAAACAGCTACTCAAGCAACTGGATATGATTTACGAAAATCAAAATTCATATTTATTTGCTTGTCAATGAGTAACTGTTTTTTGCGTATGATATGTTGTATATTTTGTGTGTGCATCTCGTTACATAAACAAGGGACCAATTTTAAGTTATATTTTGGTTTGCAATTACATGTATAATGCCTTTTTTGGAATCCGCAACTTAAACATAATAGGTTAAGATGTGGTAATATATACACTCAACTCATGTGGCTGAACAAATTCGTACCAACAATACACACTATCTACCCTTTATTTAAGGTCTAGTTTCTTATTCAAATGTTTTTTTTAATTCATGTTTACGTTATGGCAATATCAGATATCATGCATATGATAGCATTTTTATCATATTTTATATACCCCAGACTTTCACAATTTGATGATAAAGGTTTTTGCATGCTAAAAGGTTTTGAATAAATCCCATCCTATAAATGAGTTTAATTACATTATAGGCGAAGATAACACTTACTGTGTACGAGAAAGCAAAGGTATGAGATCGTGGAATTCTATTTAGATTCATAACGTCGTACAATGTTTTTCTCCAGCATTCGCATACATTAATGTACACAATATATTTCGCAACGTTTGAGCAAAAGATCAGTCAGAAATGATCATATTCATTATAAAGCTTGATTCAATATTAAATCATAGAAGTAATAAAATTTCATATAATTTGTCTCGACTTTTGAAAGAGTGGCTTTTTTTGATAACCTTTGGTATTATGTTTTATGTTGGTTGCGCTGATCAAAGGTACAGATTGGTTTGGGTGTTGAGGCAGGCTTAAATCTGGACAAGTCTTGTCTGGAGTAGGACGTGTTTTTGTCTGGTGAAGGGCGCATTTTGTCTTGTGTAGGACGCGTTTTGTCTGGTTTAGGACGCGTTTTGCTGTCCAGAATCCTAAAACTGATCAAATCATGTCGAGCTCGGCCGGAGGGCAGCAACAGGCACAGACTGGTACTACTGGAGGTACGTTTTTTTTTCGTCATTGTAATGGATTGTTCACTATGCAATGATAAGCGCTTATTGGTTATTGCTGTTCACTTTTTTCCGCTTGTTAAGTACATTAAATCCCTTAAATAAATTCAAGTACATTTTAAGAGGAGATAATCCATATCCAAGTGTGCTAAATAGGGAAATACATTAAAGAATATTTAGATACGAGAGAGTGCACGTTAGAGAATACTTACATGTAAGCCTCTAATGTTGCCGCTGACATATATACTGTACGTATTTTGCCGCATACGTATTTTCTGTACGTAGGATGACTTGATTCATACATGTATTTAGTTTAGTTGGATCTTAGTTGTAACAGACCATACGAAAGTCCCTGTACTTGTATCCAGTCAGTTAAGAATCTTTTAAATTTGGGTCATTTCTTAAAACAATTCTAATCTCCGGACCCATAGTATCTTAACAGCAATTTTCTCTCCCTAAAATGGGTTGAATTGTTAGACGCTTTTTTCTTCAGTTTTGTGTTTTCGTTTAAAAAACAGTGACCAGTATTATGCTAATCTGTTTCTGGGGCAGACAGTCTAGGATGTTTATGAGTTTTATGTGGTTATGGGGGGGGGGGTCAATTCACTATTCAAGCTGCCGGAGAAGCCACAGTGGGGAGTACTTCCTTATTGCTGTTCCCAGGGAACAAAACAATCGCAGTTTAAAGGTTTCCCAGATTTTAAGTGCTTTTATTCTTAGCATTCCGGTTTTCACGTTGCCTTGGTATATACTAAATCATTATCAACCTAAGCTCGATGTAATCATTTTTGTTCATGTCTCTATTTGTAAACGTCCCCAACCTGTTACAATGTTACAGAAGCGCACGTTTGTTTAATGAATACAGTAGGATAGTGTTGTTTAAACTGTGTAAATAGGTGACTAGAACATTGAAGCCCTAAAACTGCATCGAATATCTTTGTAAAAGACTGCTAAATTTATGCAGTTTTATCGTAATTTTTGTTTAGGTGGCACGCCCACGCAGCCACCACCGACTGATTGGAGGTCACGTGCGGACGCCGCTGCAAACATACCGAATCCTCTGTACGCCTCCAGAGCAGGTAAGACGCTAAAAGTACCTGAATGAATGAAAGGTTGAATGAAAGGTTTATTTATCATAGCAGCCATAGGCTGAATTGCTTGTTTCTATACATATGATAATTTAAAAAGTACACTTAAAAGGTACACTTTAAAATACATTAAACACAATTAAATGGAAGTGATTCTTAAATGGATGATTGTACAATTCTTAACGTTCCATGCGTAGGTTTTGCTACCACTGGTACTGCTTGTTTGACAGATAGGTCATATTGAAAATCGGACTGTTCTGAAATCGGTTTGATCTTGTTCTGAGGGTAGCCAGTAGATGTTTCTGTATGGTGTCTCTGCTGGTAATGTCAACTCGAGGAGGGGAGAGGAAGTTCCTGACTGTGGTTCATTTCAGCAAGGACTGTACCTTGTGCGGAATTACAATAATAGCCTTCCTGATTTCTGTATTCAATTCCATCATGTTTCTTCCTTTAGACGCGACTTACGCTGCAGAAGCTAACAGCAGGGGGACGAAATGCTGGGGTCTCTGCAAGAAGCTGTGGCAATACACCAGCGTTGTGTTCGTCGTGGCCAATGCTATACTGCTGCCATATTTTGCAGGTCTGGTACCTTATCGAAAAAGGAATGGAAGGATGCATTTTCATACTAATTTAAGTTATCTCCAACACGATATAGAGAGTCAGAATAGGATATATCTATTATTGGTATTATAGATATATACGTATGTAGAAGCAAAGCAATCCGCCATGTCTATCACTAATGGAAAATGGTTTGTTTGGGTCTGTTTTTTTTTTTTGCTAAATGGTGTGAGCTATCGCATGTGCTTATACATTTAGTGCAACCTGTCCTTTTTGAAAGTTAAAACCACGGTGTACTCCAAGGAGACAGCCAGGCTAGCTGAGGAGGTTGCCCAACTGAACAGGAAGACTGAACTGCGACTTGCTGAGCTGAATCGTAAGTAAAGTGCAGTTAATGTCATTTGTAAACAATTTACTACCATATAAGAGCTTATCATTCTGTATGCTGATCCAATTGATATTGTTTGCATTGGTTCACAGCATCCTTTATTCCTATGAGGTGTACTTTGATATTATATTCATTGAAATAATCAGGCAAACTTGTCTTTTTATTGTGAAATTATTTGAAACCGTTCTGCTAAGGAGTTGAGGTTCATTGTGCATAGGGCTGAGGTGTAGTCAGTGTACTGTGTCCCGAGATTGATTCTGCATCTCAGTTTCTGCTGTCGTTCCAGTCTTGTTAATTGTTTGCAAGTTGGTCTGGGTGCCACAAAGTCCGCGGATCCAGAATTCACGAAAACTAAACCATTCTTTTTATGTCAGGTTCTCCTGGACCCCCGGGAGAAAAGGGAGCCATGGGACCGCCCGGACCTGCAGGGAAAATGGGACCAGTAGGGCCGACTGGACCTGGGTCTGTGGGGCCCGCTGGCCCTCGAGGAGCAAAGGGGCCCATGGGGCCAGCTGGCCCTTTGGGAGAAAAGGGGCCCGTGGGGCCAGCTGGCCCGCCAGGAAAAATGGGGCCAGTGGGGCCGACTGGACCTGGGTCTGTGGGCCCCCCAGGCCCTCCAGGAGCAAAGGGCACCATGGGGCCGGCTGGTCCTGTGTCTGTCGGGCCTCCTGGCCCTCCTGGAGAAATGGGGCCAGTGGGGCCAGCCGGCCCCGTGTCTATCGGGCCACCTGGAAAAGACGGGCCGATGGGCCCTGCAGGGCCGCCCGGTCTGCCGGGACGCTCCGTCTGCCCTGCTGGACCACCGGGACATCCACAAACAGCTGGACGCGTCCGAGGTGACACATCACGTCATGCTTGGTTTGTGTATCTGTATAGCCGGTATAACAACCCTTCGGCATAGCACACCAGCTCCTGTATCTGTATAGCCGGTATAACAGCCCTTCGCGGCGTAACGAGCCAGCTTCATGGTTTAGCCACTCACTAATGCATTTGAGACAAATCTAGCAGAAATCTACATGTACCTTCTGTTTTTTCATTACTTAAATATAACTTATTTTAGTTTAGTTTATTTAAAACACACGTTTATTTAAAACACACGTTTTATTTCTGTTAGTGCCCTGTCCCGAAGGTTATACCAAGTTGGGCCGTGGAACCTGCTACAAGTTCTTCAGCACACCAAAGACCTTCAGCAGAGCGGACGAGATCTGCCGCAAGGACGGCGGCACCCTGGCCATGCCCCGAGACGACGAGACCAACACCTACCTATATGCACTCTCCAAGAGTCCGGGCAAAACCCTTCACTTTTACTGGATCGGGCTTCACGACCAGCGCGAGGAAGGAAAGTTTGAGTGGGTGGATGGCTCTGCACTTGGCGAGTACAGCTTGTGGGATCCTGGACGACCTGGTGTAAACCATCAGCGAAATTGCGTCCTATCTTATTACCACATGAGCAAAAATAGAGCCATTTGGTGGGACGCCTCATGCGAAAAGGAACGACCCTTCTTCTGTCAGGTGACAGGTACTTCACACAATAAACTGTATTCATGTTTATTGTCATAATTTTAGTACGTAGGTAAAGCTTAAAGGCATCCAATGCGATTTCAGAGCATCAAAACTGGGAATATTCTGAATAAGGCAATCTTTAGGATATTGACACATACTGCGTCACATTAGCACATTTCAATCAGTATTTCATACTTTTGGTATTTAAAACTGAAGAAACTGTGAGCCCCAAGATGAGTCTTTTTTCTATTCTGGGTGCTACCCTAAA